AGAATAATTCGCTAGATTCTAGTATTTCCGCGATGGATTCTTGACAGCCTGGCGGACGTTTAGCTTATTGTGACACTATGTATTTCAGATAAGGCAAGACATTCTGCTGATGTTCCATATACTCCGTCTTTGCTCATGTTGAGGTAATATTCTTCCTTAGAAGGATATACTACATCATCGCTTTGAGAATTTTCTTTGCAGGTAAAAATTTTGAAATGGTCCCAGTTGTCAAAGATAAATTTCGAACTCTCATTTCTTAAAATTTTATGTTTTTCTTGAGTTTTATAGAGAAAAAGACTTACTGAACGAAATAAACAATTTCCATCCTTCTCAATATCAAATTTTTTGAAAACTTCATCTCCATCCGTCGACATTATTTTCAAATTTCTAAATTTCTCGGAAAACGTATTTCTTTTGGAATAAACTTTGGTTGATTTGGATTTAGTGGATTCTGGATGATATCTTGTTGTACTTAAAATATTTCTTAAACTTCTATAAATAGTGTAAAAATATGTAAAAATTTGGTAGAAATTTTTGACTCGTTTTCAATTTTGACAACTTGTCACTATTATTTGTTCAGAGAGAAAATTCCAATTTTTTTTTTCAATTTTTGAAAGAAAATTCCCAAATTTTTCAGTTTTTGAAAGAAAATTCTTGAACTTTTTATTTTTTGAAAGAAAATTCCAGTTTTTTTTGTTTTTAAATTTTTCCCTTAAAGGTTTTTTTTTTTGAAATTTTTCTTGAAAGAAAAATTAAATTTTTTTTTTTATTTTTTGAAAAAATATTCCAGAATTTTTTATTTTTCTGGAAGAAAAATACCAGAATTTTCCTTCCAGACTAATTTCAAAAAAAAAATCTGAAATTTTTCTTTTCTCGAAATTTTTCCTTCAATTTTTTTTAAAAATTTTTTCCGAAATAAAATTCCAATTTTTTTTTTTTTTCCTGGAAGAAAATTCCAGAATTTTGTTTTTCCAAAATTTTTTTTTTCAGCTCTTTTCCCTGAAAGAAACATTGCAATTTTTTTTTTATTTTTTGAAAAAGAATTTTTTTTATTTTTTGAAAGAAAATTCCAGAATTTTTCATCTTTTGAAAAAAAGAATCCAGATTTTTTTTTTGAAATTTGTCATTTTTCTTTCAAAAATGCATCCAGATTTTTTATTTTTTTTTATTTTAAGTTTCCAAAAATTCAATCCCAGAATTTGAAAATTCGAAAATTCTAGATTTTTTTTTTTGTGTCTAATTTTTCCCTGAAATAGTTATTTATGCAACAAGTGTGTAAAATGTGATTGTCGAACTCGCCTTCGGCTCATGCGCCATAATTCACATTCGTGAAAAAAAGGTGCTATACGCACGTATCACGTATTGCATACAAAATTTTTTCTACTACCAATCAAATATGTGTAAAAAAATAAATTTAGACAAATACATACTTTACGCACTAATGCGGAAAATATTTTCACTTTACGCACTGGAGTGTGAAGTAATTCACCAGAAAAATACTAAATTGACAGTGGCGACATCTGTCATTGACATTACTTCACGCACTAGTGTGTGAAGTGAATTACTTTACACACTTGTGCGTGAAGTGAAATTTTACGTATTCTGAATAGTTCGTAAAGTGAGTACTTTACGCACGGTAGTAGAAAATAGTTATTTATGCAACAAATGTGTACAGTGAACCTTTTTTCACGAATGTGAATTTTGACAATCAAATGAGTGAAGAAAGGTGCTTTACGCACGTATTGCATACAAAATTTTTTCTACTACCATTCAAATATGTGTGAAAAAATAAATTTAGAGAATTTCTTTACGTACTAGTGCGTAAAGTGTTTCCACTTTACACACTTGTGCGTGAAGAGAAATTTTACGTCTTCTGAATAGTGCGTAAAGTGAGTACTTTACGCACGGTAGTACAAAAAAGTGTTTTACTTCCGTTGTCCATAGTAACCGTCAACTGACATAAAAGTTAAACTTTAACATCATGAAATTAGTAGATAAATGTCAGGTTTTTTGACATTTGAAGAAAAAATAATTATTGTTATATAAATATAATAAATATTATTTAATTTAAATGAATTTTTCTCATTATTTGGAAGAAAAAGTAGGTATTATCAGTGGGTTCTGCTTTGGCCGCCCCTATTTCTAGCCGCCCGTGTGCGGTGCACGCTTTGCACACATGGTAGCGGCGGCTGCGAAATTGAAGTTTGCGGACGGTTGCACAAAAAATAACTTTATACAATTCGGTTGAAAACTTAAGAATGAACCAAGCTTACCCAAGCCTGTAACGTCCGATGAAGAAACATCGTCAATCTTTCAGCCTACTTTCACGCATATCCCCAAGCTTCCATCCGAAGTGCAGCAGGTGATTTAGGCCTGAGCTATTATTATGTGCAGAAAATTTTTAACGATCATAATATGCATCCCTGTAAATTCACAAAAGTTCAACAGCTGAAAGCGGATGATTACCAATGTTAAATTCGATATTAAGAGACACTTATGAGTATCTAAACTTAAAAAAAAAAAAAATAATATGGACCGATGAAGCTAAATTTTCTAGAGAAGGTATTTTTAATAGAAGAAATCAACACTTTTGGGCTAATCAAAATCCACATGCAGTCAAGGAAAAAAAGATCCCAAACCCCCAGTGGCAACAAAATAGGTTGTGACAGTATTTTTTCTACTACCTTACGTGAAGTACCCACTTTATACACTATTGCGAAGACGTTAAATTTCACTTCACACACTAGTGCGTAAAGTAATGTCAATGACAGATGTCGACACTGTCAATTTAGTATTTTTCTGGCAAATTATTTGTCTAAATTTATTTTTGTCACATATTTTATTGATAGTGGAATAAATGTTATATGCAATAAGTGTGTACAGTACCTTTTTTTACTCATGTGATTGTCGCACGTCACATTCGTGAAAAAAAAATTCACTCAACACACTTGTTACTGCTATTTAATAAGACACAATTTCTAAATAATCCAATTCTAACAGAAATTTGCCTGTATTTCCGAAACCTTACTATTTAGGTATAGGAACATGATACATCATTTTTATTGGCTTTCATAATATTTTATAATATACAGGGTGTTCTATTTAAAAAAGTGCACTTTTCATCTTTTTTGTACCTGGCAGCAAAATTACTAATTTTGACCAACCCTGTATAATGTAGAACAAATGTTCTTGCTCAAAAGTAATATGCAGGACCTCCCTAAGTTATATCCAAAATTTAAACTTTCTACGAGTCTCAGGGACGTAGTAATACAAATTTAACTAGAGCTATGTTTTGAAGAAAAAATAAAGAAATTAATTAATAACTCGAAAATCACTAGAGATAGGTATAGGACAGTATCATACAAAAATGATCAGAAAGTAATAGCGGAGCGAAAAATGCAATAATATACAGGGTGTCTCATTTAAAATTTCAAAGTTCATATTACTTTTTGGTATAAGCGGCAACGTCGCATCATTGAAATTATTTTAGAATGATAGATCAGGAGCAATTACTGGGGCATGCAAATTTTCAAAAATATCCAACATTCCGTTTTCCATAAACGTCTAACCTACCATCGACCATCAATCACCCTGTATATGTTGATCATATTTGCATGAGCCATTTTTGACATATCTCAGCTTAAATTATAACTAAATTGCAAAGAAATTTTATAAAGATATAGAGATCCTTATGGAACTTCTCTGCAAATTCATTATAATTTAACCTGAGATATGTCAAAAATGGCTCATGCAAATGTGATCAACATATATATATTTGTAAACAGGAAGAAAAGATCTTTCATTTTATCACAAAATATATAGGGTGTTCCATTTAAAAAAGTCGAAGTTCTCTACGTTTCTCCATTTTCCGATGCGATTTTGTTTTTTCTGATAATGTTAAAAGAAAATATAGAAAAAAACTGTCAAGTTTTGTATTTAGAATTTTTTTCTATCTTAAATAGTAAAGGCTGTAGATATGGTGCCAAATATAATCAAATACCCTGTACAATATTCGGGGGTTTTTAGGAATGCCCGATTCAATGGTGGTATTTGCAATGCTACCAAGTTAACCGTTTCTAAGATGGTGTATGTAACTGCCCGTAAGGGCATCCATTTAAAAAAAAATCAAGTTAAATACGGCATCTTATAAACGGTAAACATGGCAACATTGCAAATACCACCATTGAATCGGGCATTCCCAAAAACCCCCAGGTAGGCAATATTGTACATTTTGCTAAAGTCTTTTCTGAAATACGAGACTGTTTCTATACATTTTAACAAAAAATCTGTTGTCATATTTTATAAACCAAGAAAAATGTAGTTTTGGCATTTAGGGGTTTTAGTAATGTTGGGACGCTGAATTAATTACAGTAAAAATAAAGAGGGGCATCCATTTAACAAAATCGGCATTTAAGAAACGGCAAATTTGGCAACATTGCAAATATCACCATTGAACCGGGCATTCTCAAAAACCCCCAGGTAGGAAATATTGTAAATTTTTTTCAAGCCAGTTCTGAAATATCAGACCGTTTCCATACATAACGACAACCCTGTATATTATGTAATTATATTTGTCTTTACAAGCACTTTCTAAAAATATACTCCTGGACAAAATTATCGCACCACTGCTTATGGTGCTTATGTGCAGTGGTGGTGCGATAATTTTGTCCAGGAGTATTATAAAAATTTAGGTATAGGGTGTTAAATCTTATGTGTCACACTTTTTTTTCACCACCTGTATATGCGCAAGTACACAAAAACAAGTTAATGATTTTAAACCCATCTTTTGTATTCAACTTTTTGTCCTAAAATATCTAGATTTCCATATACCAAGATAGGACAAAATAAACGGGATACCCTGTACCTATTTAGAGTTTTAGTTTAATACATTCATAACCAATATAAGAATTATTGGAAAAACTAACATAAAGTAGATAATTCTATAAGAGTTTCAAATTTTGAGTTATAAACCTACTTACTTACATCTAGAAACTACTTACCAGATTATTCGTTTTAGCTCCCAAACTTTTTACACTCTGCAGAACCAGTATGAATCTAGTAACGGAATCTTCTTCTCCATTAGTCAATACAAAATTGGGTGTAAGCAGAAATTCGATAGCTTGTACAGGGTAAATTTGCAAATGGATAGGAGCTGATGTCAAAAGCGAGTGTGTTAAGGTGACAGTCCCCACTCTATTTCCAACAAAAGCTATATCTAAAGCCGGGTTTATTTCCACCAGATTTGAATCACTACTTTTCCAAATGCCTGGTGTGTTGTATTCGGAGACTACAGGCGACCATAGACATATAGTGTCACCTGTAGTTAAATGATCCTAAAAAAACCACAAATGATTGATTTGATAATATGCACTCCTTATACCTTACCAAAACAGGTTTGACAGACTGTTCAACGTGTAACTTGACATAATCAGTTGTTTTCTGTATACCATCGGCCCAAACTTTCAACATTGTATGACCTTCTTTTTTGGTACTGATCCATAAAGAACCATTTTCTGGGAAACGTGTAACTTTAATTAAATCCAACCTGAAAAATATTTCCATCATTCAATATATCTAGCATCGATATATTTTACAAAATTCTCACCTACTAGTTCTCAGTTTCAGCTCAGTAGGGCCAGCATGAAACACATTTCCAACATTATCATGATAGGTAGCAACAAGAAGAAATTCTGTACCCAGAGGTAGTATTGCAATGGGATTATTGAAACTGATCCTCCAAGAAGCTTTAATGTTGAGACTCATATAATGAATTGGTTTGACCTGTAATTTATTTGAATAAAACAACAAATTTAAACTAGGAATAAAATAAATACCTCCACGACAATATTCAAGCGTTGTTTTAGACCGTTAATATCTGTAGAAGTAACTATGAGCATCACATGACCTAATCTTCCGAAAGATTTCAATAGACCACTAGATGTTAGAGTCACAATTTGATCAGCTGCATTGAATACAGATTTATCAGCTAATAATTCAGTTGATGGTACTTGTTCGCCAGGTAAGCTGTAAAAAGAACAGAAATATGTTTTGAAAAGCATTGCTAGTGACATTTGTTGAAGACAATTTTGATCCATATCTTAATCAATTTAATATCTTACTCAAAAACAATATGAGACACTAAATCCATGTTGGTTTCCAGTTGAATCTGGGAAAATGGAGCCATCAAAAGCGATATTCCGTCAACTTGTTTGGGCCTACTTAGCATTAATTGATCAACAATTTCAATATCGACGTGAGCTGAGTAAGTTATTGTGCGCACATTAGGTTTATTGGCTACAACCCCTGGTACTGTTACGTTTACATTTATCCGGGTAGTACCTGATTGCAAGCCTGTTAGTTTTAGGACAATCCTGTCTGACCGAGCAATGGTAATACCTATATCCAAAACGTAATAATTATTTGATTTAAATTTGTTGTACATATAAAGATAAAGTACCTAGGGGATGATAAACTCCAGTCAAATCAGCCAAAAGTTTGTCATCCACCAGCCACCTAAACATTATAGGCGGATTATTGACTGTTCCTAGAACAACTGGGGAAATATCTGGTAAACCAAAACACCAAAATGGTACTGTAGCGCCAACTCGAAATCTAGTCAACGGGGCCCCAATTTTCACTCCTGTGAGGGCGATTACAAATACTTCTACAGAATCCTACAATAATTAAAATCTAAAAAGTCTGTAATCTTGATTTAAAAAAAAAAATACCTCAGAATAGACTATACTTTGTCCAGTTGTAGGATGCACCCCAACAGCTTTGGCAGTAATTCGAGTTGTACCAGGAGATTTACCAGTGATTATTCCTTTGTCTGACGCAGCTGAAAAGAAGGTATTATTTATAAAATACCAAGCTGATATGATATGCATATTATTATCTTACTTGCAGTCCTATTTTCCGCCACTTCAAATACGATTTCAACGTCAGGCTGTGGTCCACCCTTGACTACAAGTTGTACAGCAGAACCAATTAAAACTGTTCCATTGCGAGGATGCAGTCTTAGTGGTTGAAAAACTTGTAAATCTATTGGAGCACTGCTTATGTCCTCGTCGTTACTTGCAGCAGTGAATATTAATTTTGAATCTCCCACTTCAATTCCTATGTTACAGAAAAAAAAGCATAATCAATCTATTGTGATGCTAATTTGGGATCAAAAGATCTATAGATTGCTGCTAACTTAAGCTAGTTTGGGGCTTTCCATTGTCTAATCTTGAAAAGCAGCCAAAATTAGCCATTGACAATATATAGGATTTATTTTAAAATTAATAAAAATGGACCAGGTTGGAATTATTGACCTGCATTGACGCATTGACGCAACTATGTTTATAATCACAATATTTCATTATTGTTATTAATAACTAACAAGCGAGCTAGCAAGTTTGAAAATACTAACCAAATTGCAGCAATATTGATCGACGCAATAACGCTTATACAAACAAGTCCTAGTGGATAAAGAGCACAAATTCATTGGTTTAACTGCAAAATCATACATACCTACTTCCAAATTACGTATTATAGTTATCAATAACTTAATGTATAAATAGCGGCTCACTTCAATCAATAAATCAATATAAAACTTTTTCTGGTGTATAACTCACATACCACAAACAACACCCAAGTTTATATCCAGAGTGTGAGGTTGCACTTTATACACAACACCCTTCCCAGCTGTCACCTCACCTCTAGCAGGGCAATGCGAATGAATATACCTAGTGACAACAAGGGACCTTATTGTCAAAAATTACTAAGAGGTTATTCCCATATCAAAAGGGAACCCTTTTTCATGGTCCTTCGAGCAAAAAGTTGGATAGAAGAAAAGGATAACTCCCTTGAAAAAAGGGAGTTACAGTAATATTAACAGCAAACGGTTTAATCAGCCACCGACAACAATAGCCCAATCAAAGACACACCGATGGATCACGTGCTCCAGCCACTGCCGTCCATCCTCAACCTCAAAAGAACTTCACTTCAATCCAACTTCATCTCCAATTCACATTGAGCAGGTAAACCGTCATCCTTAAAAAAAACACGAGCAGATACTTCTACAGTTATAACCGAATGAATCTACAAGCAATCATCCACCCATACCAGCATCGCCACAAGTCATGCCTACTGTCATTATCCAACAACCAAGATCAAACAACATATCTCTGCCTCAAGTGAAACTGCCAATTTTTGATGGATTATATGAAGAATAGTCCACTTTTAGGAACATTTTCACGAAAATTGTTCATGAGAATGGTATCCTCACCGACATCGAAAAAATGAAACATCTCAAGACCCACGTACGAGGTGAAGCCAGTAGAGTCATTCAATATCTACAGATAAACAGTGACAACTACAATATAAGCTGGAACATTCTCGAAAGAAGATATCACAACGAGAGACTAATCATCAACATTGATAAGATCTTGGAAACACTATCAATCACTCACGAATCAGCGTACAAGCTAAGGCAACTGCATGACACAATGATAGAATGTGTAGAAGCGCTCAACAACATGAAGGTAGACACCAAATTGTGGGGACCAGTAATCTCAAGACTAATCTGCCGCAAATATGATTCCGAGACAAATCAATTATTCGAGCAGTCCATGCGAGAGCCAAACAAAATGCATCAGCTAGACGACGTATTTATGTTTCTGTAAACAAGATTTTAATCCCTGGAAGCCTGCGTCCAAGGTAAAAAAAAGTCCAGCGAGTAAACCCATAGCACAACTGAAAGCTGCGGATACTGCAACGAGCCTAACCACAGCATCTGTCAGAAGCTTCAAGCATTAACTCCATCTGCAAGATTTAAAGTCATCAAGGAGAAGAAGATCTGCATAAACTGCTTGGGATAGATGGACTATTTGGACAGCACACCGAATTTGGGTGGATTCTGTCCGGAAACATTCTTCGACATGAGAGAAAAAAATATGCAAGCTGTCAGTTTAATAACGTACATTGAGGAAGATCAGGATCCGCAGTTAGCGAAATTCTGTGAACTAGAAAAAGTCGCCGAAAGTAGGCCAACCACCGAAGAAGAGAAATTCTGCGAAAACCATTATCAACGAGCACTAAAAACGACGGTACGTACGTACACAGTCAAGATTCCATTTAACAATCAACTACAACAACTAGGGATCTCAAGATCACGTGCAGCCGTACGACTACTGCAGCTGAAAAGCGATTTTCAAAAGATGCTCAGCTTGAAGAAAAATACACTTAATTCATGGAAGAATACATGAAACTCAAACATATGAGAACATGCCCGTGTAACAAAATCAATAGTAAATTCATAGTATCGGTTCAAGTTTATCGTTCGTGGGGAAAAGCTTTATTTTTATAGATAGTTAAAAAGTAATCCTAATGGGATTTACAAACACATGGATTTCTGCGAACGACCGAATGTGTTCACTTGATAGCCAGAAAAGTATCAAATTTTATAGCTTCAAGATTATTATTGCTGTAACTAGGGATGTCAATTTTTTTTCAAACACCGGTTTTTCCATTAACCGGTTAATTTAGTAACAGTTTTAACTGCCCGGTTATAACTGATATAAAACACCGGTTATTTCGATTAACTGGTTGTTCGATTATTTTTCCGAATTTTATCAGAATAATTGCATAATTTATACTATGTAACAAGTTAAACAACAACATATCTTTATTGTAAAAAAAATCGGGAACTGTTACATGTACCTTAACGTCCTCAACCTACATGTTCATGTCTTTTTCAATCCTGTTCATTAGGGAAAGATGGAAAACAACCAGCTGCTGAAGTTCAGCAGCTGAACGAATTAACCGAAACTGATATGAAATACTAAAGATGGGCACTACTATTGGTTAAATACTGTGGAAATATTCTACTGTTGTCTGTTGTCGCTTATTCAATATTTCATAATTATTCAATAAGATGAGAGAAAAGTCAACTTGTTCTACTTTCACCGGTTATTAGGTATAAAACCCGGTTATCCGGTTATAACTGGAACCAAAAAACAACTGGTTTTAATCGGTTAACCGAAGAGAAAACACCGGTTTTTCGGTTTTAACCACCGGTTATTGACATCCCTAGCTGTAACCCGAAATTGACAAATATAGTACGGGTGTTCCGAAACTGTTGTGCCAAAAATTAAGGGATGATATATCGTGCCAAAATAAACGTTTTTTTACTTATAAACACATAAAGTTTGTTTCACCAGGGTTTGTACTTGCCACCAGCATTTGCCTTCCTTGTTTAACAAATAGAAATTGACTGAAACAAATCAATAATGTCAAAAATGTTCGTCGGTTCTTAAACCAGAAGTCATTCATTTCAATTTGTCAAAAAAATTGAATGTGTCATATGAAATAATCTGCGACAACCCTTTTTTTTCAAGTTTCAAGGTCAAGTATGAACCCTGGTGAAACGAACTTTAGGCGCATGCGCTTTGGTTACGTGATAATAGAACATTACAGGTCGCGCTGTGTTATAGCCACCTTACACACGGAGAAATGTATTTGAAGCAGAACCTGTGTTATTAAATGATGCAAAACCCAAGAAATGCTTGCAGTATTTACTAAAAACAATGATTCACAGCAAAAGATGTTCAAAGCTACGACCACCCACCTCCATACGTGCGTGACAGCGCCGTAGTATAGCCTCCTGAACACGTTGAAAAATTCATGGTGTTTCGAGAATTTCAGCAGCTGCTGCGACAATCCTTCCTTCTAACTTCCTCTAGCTGTTTCAACTGGAGTGTCGTAAACAAAAGCTTTCATATAACCCCATAAAAAAAGTCGCATTCCGTCAGGTCTGGTGAACGTGGAGTCCATGCCGCCTTAACAATCACTCTTTCCAGATGTTAAGGCTAACAAGTAATGTGGTGGTGGTGGTCTGTCGTGTTGGTACCCTATGTTTTATCTGGCATACAGGGAAACAGTTTCGGGAAGGGTTTCCTGCAGAAATCTACTAGATATTTCTGTTACAACGCTGTTACACATGCATTGAGGCGGGTGGTCGTAGTTTTGAGCATCTTTTCATGTGAATCATTATTTTAAATAAATACTGCAAGCATTCTTTGGGTTGGTTCTGTATTATTTAATAACACAGGTTCTGCTTATTCAAACACGTTTCTCCGTGTGCAAGGTGGCTAACACAGTGCGGATTGTAATGTACTATTATCACCTAACCAAAGCGCATGCGCCTATGGGTTTATAAGTAAAAAACGTTTATTTTGGTGAAATCTATCATTCCTCAATTTTCGGCACAGTAGTTTCGGAACACCCTGTATAGGCAAAAATGTATTCCTAGATAAACCCTAAACTTTAAAATAATCTGTCCATTGAACCAGATCCCATGTGGTTGTAATAATTTATTCAAAGTCAAAGAACCCAGTTATCAGGTAACTGATACCGTTGCTGGAAAGAATTATATTCGAAGCATGTGTGTGTGGAGCAAAGCGATGATTACATGAGCTGGATTTCTAATATACAATAAGAAATTGTATAACAATATAATTATCAAGGGTTATTACTTATGCTTAGTTATAACTAAGATATAGGTGGGTTAAGATAGGAGCGATGGAAATACCTGACATTGATAGTTTGTCTTCTTCATCATTGGCATCTAATTCTAAAGCTTGCTGCGCTTCAGGTCAGGTGGTACTTCCAACCAGTTATTTTCCAACTTGAAATTCACTGGAAGTAGTGGTTGACATTCTACTTCGGTTTCATGTTCAACTAGGATGCGTCTAATAGCAGTTCTGTGTAGTGATCTGTTCAGATAGATCACGGAAAGTTCTTGATAACATTCCGAAATCTATCGATAGTCTACCACAGCAGCTCTACATTTAGCAATATAGATATAGAGTACCACGACTCAATTATGAAGAGATGCCATTCAACAGAGAAGATTTTACAAAACAGATTAGCAATGGCAAAACAATCGCCCGACGCCGTGGATAATCTGGTAAAAGAAACATCAGAATATGTTAGTAGAGTGCTGGGAGAAGTAAGTACTCTAAATGTAGAGCTGTTGTCGTAGACTATCGAAAGACTTCAGAATGTTATCAAGAACTTCCCGTGATCTATCTGAACAGATTACTATACAGAACTGCTATTACACAAATCCTAGTTGAACATGGAACCAAAGTAGAATGTCAACCAGTAGTTGCAGTGAATTTCAAGTTGGAAAATAACTGACTAGAAGTAACACCTGACCTAAAGCGCACCACCGAAGCTTTAGAATTAGATGCCAATGATGAAGAAGACAAACTATCAATGCCAAGTATTTTTTTATCTCTCCTATCTTAACCTACCTATATCTCAATTATTATAACTAAGCATTTAACTATCTTACAGTTAACATTTCACCCAAGTAATAACCCTTGATAATTATATTGCTATACAATTTGTTATTGTATCCTAAAAATCCAGCTCATGTAATCATTGCTTCGCTCCACACACACATGCTTCGAATATAATTCTTTCCAGCAACGGTATCAGTTACCTGACATCTGGATTCGTCATAAAACGTGGGTATTCAGAAGATGAATAAATTTTTACAACCACATGGGATCTGGTTCAGTCGACAGATTAGTTTAAAGTTTAATGTTTATCTAGGAATACATAAAATTTGCCTAAATATACTTCTGGACAAAATTATCGCACCACTGCACATAAGCACTATCATAAGCAGTGATGCGATAATTATTTGTCAATTACGGGTTACAGCAATAATAATCTTGAAGCTAAGCTATAAAATTCCATACTTCACTAACTTTTAAGTGATTTTTACTCAAACAGATTAGGTCGTTCGCAGAACTCCATGTGTTTGTAAATCCCATTAGGATCACATTTTAATTATCTATAAAAATAAAGCTTTTTCCCACGAAAGATAAACTTAAACCGAGATTATGAATTTACTATTGATTTTGTTATACCCGCAACTGAACAGTAGCCCATAGTACATCCCTCACCAGCCTGTAATAAAAGAATCCAACACGACAACAAAATTAAGAGTAGTATATGATGTATGATGCCTCAAGCAAAACTTCACGTGGAATCAGTCTTAAATGATGCAATGTACTCAGACCCGAAACTTCAGGAGACATATTATTTCGTTGGAGAACACATAAAATTGTATTGGCAACAGATGTTAAGAAAATGTATCGGCAAATTAAAATTCACCCAGGCGACCAAAAATATCAAACAATTCTATGGAGGTTCGGACCAAATGAATCAATACAAGAATACAAGCTAACGACAGTTACATACGGAACCACCTCAGCCCCATACTTGGCCATTAGAACGTTACAGCAACTGGCAGAAGATGAGAAGACGATTTCCCACTAGTATCTAGAGTTACTAAACAGGATTTCTACGTCGACGATCTGCTCTCTGGGACAGATGCGGTCGAAGAAGTCATCAATCTTCAGGCATGTTCAAAGCTGGAGGATTCATCCTACGCAAATGATCCAGCAACCATATACAAATCCTCAACTTTCTTGATGAACAACTGCGAGAACAATCCTTACAAGAAATTACTGAAGACGACGCACGAAAATCCTTGGGAATCCATTGGGCATCATATGATGACATTTTCAAATTCAAAACGCAAGTCAACATGGAACAGAGTGTCACCAAACGCATTATTCTCTCTGAAGTTGCGAAACTGTTCGATCCGTAAGGATGGTTAGCTCCAGTATTTATAAAGGCTCTTAATCTAAGACCTATGGTTACAAAATTTAAAATGGAATGACTCGATTCTGGCCAACATCCAGACAAAATGGAGGTCATTTCAGGATGAACTAAAAGTCGTGGAAGACATTTTGCTGCCCCGAGGGACCAACCAAACGCCAAACAGTCAAAAGGAATTACACGGATTGGATTCTGCGACGCCTCTGAAAGAGCGTATGGCGCTATCTTAAAGTTAACAGTAAGGAAAGACCACCCAAAATATCACTTCTCACAACCAAATCTAAAGTTGCTCCTACCAGAACAAGAACTACACTCCCAAGATTAGAGCTATATGCAGCTGTTCTCCTTGTAAAAATCATGAAAAGAACCGTCACTGCATTATCAATGGAGAAAGTTGATAAATATGCATGGACTGATTCAATGATAACAATATCATGGATAAAGGGAGACGTCACAAGATGGAAGACATTCGTGGCAAACCGAACGGCAGAGATCAATTCCCTACTACCAGAAAAAAAGTTGGAACCATGTCAGAACTTTAGAGAACCCAGCGGACGCTATCTTAAGAGGCATGGATGAAATAAAACTGAAACAGTTCAAAATGTGGTGGAATGGTCCAGATTGGCTAGCGTCAAAACCCACTGTGGAAGTATTGTCGCGAAAAATAGAAATACCTCCAGTTACAGAAGAAGTAAAACTGTGTCACGCAACAATTATTACGGCAGAGGATACCACCCAGATGAAAATCACTAGCAGATTTTCGCTAACTTATGCGGAAAATGTCTTTCCGCACTTGTTAGGAAAATAACTATTGTTTATTTTGAATATAGAGACAACAGATTTCTGAACAAATGAATCACATTATGAATCCATAACAGTGAAAAACAGCGGGACAAGTTGCAGCATGAATTCCACAGATTGGCAAGAAATAATTATCCATATGTCTATAATGCCTTACGTATGGATTCTGATTAAAACGAGAAAACTTTGATGGGGTTTGATTATTACTTGAAATAATCAAATTATGAATAAAACTTACCTGTGATAGTATACCGGATTTCGCCAAGACCCCAATGATCTTTAGGATTTTGCTCGGCCCTTTGAATATTGGCAATATGTTCCTCAAACTCGGGTCTTAAATCAACCATATTAAGTTCCGGAATATCCATCAAATTATCATTTTCATCATACAGCTTCACAATGCAAGGAATACACTTGCTGATTTCGACTTTACCAGGCATTTCGACTCGTATTATTCCCACTGAATTTACCATTACTCTCATAGAAGCCGGTTTTGACATCAGACAGAGGTCTAATAATTGTATTGTAACTTCGCCTGATTTTAGCGGAGTTATTTCAAGTTCTTTGGTGCCTTCAAGGTAAGTGACGTCCACTATATCATCGGCACTTAAAGCAATCTCAAAAAATCCAGACCCTTGTAGTACTCCTACAGTTTTTTTATTTCCAGGATGATTAAAAAGTGATATAGAAGTTTCTGATAATCTACTATCATCCACCAAATATAACGCCAAAGAACTTTTAATTGGTTGGAGCTCTGAATCCTTATCTTCCGGCCCCAAGAACTCTGGAAACTCAGGCTCTATCGAATGTTTGTATAAAATTGCTTTATTATATCCAACAACTGTAACATTTATTTCTAGAGGACCAATATCAACGCGTGGCATAAATGACTGATACCATTTATCAGCTACAGCAACAGTGCCTATGGAGATATTTTTTGGAAATACGCCAACTTTATTTACTAAAACTCCCGCCTCAGATGGTACAACTCTCCATTCTAAATTTAGACTTGTAAAATTGAGAAATTTATTGCCGCAATCATCCCAAACATTCACATCGATGTCTATAATTTTTGTGTTCTGGATAACTACATTTCCTGAACTAAGATCCATGGGACAGTTAGAAGTATCTGCTATTTGAAGTTGAGGTTGTAGGGTGATTTTTCTAGGTTTACCACAAACTATTCTTGTAGTTATGCTACTTGTTTGCCCTTGGCAGTTTTCAGCAGTAGGATTGTTAGATATCATAAGTTTAATATCAGTATCTCCAAGTTTTTTACACAAAACTTGTATCACAGTGAAATCTTCTCCTTGAATTGAGTGAAGATGAGTAACATCTTGTCCTTGTGCTATGTTCTCATCTTCACTGACAATAAGCTTTTGATGATCACTTGATCTTCCCATCGTCGGCCTTGGTCCACCAGTATAAATCAAATTTATTGATGAACCCACAGCAAGAACAATATCTTTTTTGGGCTGCAATAGTTGAAGTGTTTTGAAAGCACTTACAGTAACTGAGTCTTCCAGAGCCTTACCATCTTGAAAATATGTTACAGTTATCTTACTGGTTCCCACATTTAAGCCAACCATTGCAATATTTCCACAAGAAATCCCTACAGGTGACAAAACTGATGTTTTGTTTTGTTTGAATTTTACATCAGATTGTCTCACTTGGAATGGTAATTCTTGACACCTTGTAAAAGGTACTAAAGTCACTGTGCCATCTGGTCTAACATCTTCTGCGTATAGGGCAATATGAAGATAAACTGGAGAACCCACTTCAGCTTCCATGACAAATTCAACTATTTCTAGTCTTGATGGTGGTAGAATTACAAACTTAGCCGAACGTCGGTTATGGTGATTTCGCATCATTATGGCAGATACTTCAAAGAACCCATTCGAATGTGTTCTCACATGTCCTGATTGACTAACTACGCCTATAGAATTATCACTGCTAGTCCATAGGAATCTTCCATCACCTCCTCGTGCTATCAAATCAATATCATATTTAGGTCTCGTAATCGGATCCCAAGGTAAAATTACATCAGCTGGTTCAATAGTAATAGCAGCATAAATCATTAAGTCTGCTTTAGCTGTTAGTGGACTAGCTAATGGAGTTGTTCCATCTGCAAGAGTTTTTAATGAAGCTTGCACATTGGCAATACCTGATTTAGTTCCATATCCTGTCAACCAGCTGCCATTAACAGTATGTGCAGCAGTATAAAATTCTGGAGTGACTTCTAAATAAAGGTTAACATTTTCTCCAATGAATAGTTTGTGATCAGAACTATCATATAAATCAGCAACAATATCGTGATGTTGACCAACTAAAATTGCCCAATTTTTGTGAGGCAGAACATTCAATACAATATATTCAGGTTGTACTACATGCAAAGTAGCAGCTGGGAGTTTCAGTAAGGGGTCGTTTTTGTCAACATTTCTATCTCTCAAAACTATTTTGGTTTTACCATGTTTCAATGCATTCACATTTCCTGTTCTCTTATAAGAAGCAGCTATTTCTGTATTCTCCGCTTCAATGTAATACTGACTATCAGGCATTGCAATTTCTTCCATTCTTCCATTATTGATATAAAATATTTTAAATGGTATTACATCTCCAGGCATTGCATATACTTCAGCTGGGCTCAAAAGTAAATTAGCAACAATCATAAGTTGTACCTCACTTACTTCGACATGCTTATATTCAGGGTAAGGAAGTCGAACCGTTACTTTAGCAGATCCACTTTTAACTCCTTCAAGCAAAATTGAATATCCTTTTTTATTTTGATCCTCCAACAACTGTATTCCTGGAGGAATTTCATAGGGCGAATCTCTAAATGCTATATATCTTATCACAGACTCTTTGTTAGGTCCCAGTGGAATTATATTCCAATCAAATTCAATTAGCTCTAATGTCGAGAATTCATTTCCTTGCTCATCAAATGCTTTAACTTCAAAATCTTCAGGTGCCTCTTCCATAAAAAGTTCTTTAGTTGTTGTAGTAATTGCTAATGAACTTATGACATCAACTATCACATCACACCTTAAATTTTGTTTGGTATGAACTTCTTCAGCTAGTACCACAGCTATGTTTCTAGCAGTCTCTTTGGTAACAGTTTTCACTATAACTTTGGATGAACATTGCAAGTCCCTATGCTCATCAATTAGTGCAAGTTGGATGATATCTGATCTAGTTGTAGTCCTGAAATATAAAAATAAATAAAATTAATATCTGAAAACTAGCCAGCTAGTTAGAAAAATAACACCTAATTTTCACTTAAAAAGCAGCATAGATGCATGCCAGGATTAAGGGGGGGGCTAACGGGGCTTCAGCCTCGGGCCCCGCAGTCCAGTAGGGCCCCTCGAAGTTGAGGCTTCTGCTGGTCAAGGACCCGTGGACAAACAATAAATATTAGATGCACTAGTCTTTCGCGTCATGTTTCGCAAAATTTATTAAATTAAAAATAAATATAGAAAAACAATGCAGAAGGAACGCCTGTCTTCATTAACATTGATGTGCATAGAAAGACTACAGAGACATTCTGAAGGAGAAGAATTTGTTAGGTAAATTTAAGTTACCTACGAAAAATAGTTATTTATGCAACAAGTGTGTAAAGTGAACCCTTTTTCACGAATCTGAATTTTGACGCACGAGCCAAAGGCGAGCGCAACAATCACATCAGTGAAAAAAGGTGCTTTACGCATGTATTGCACACAAAATTTTTCCTACTACCAATCAAATAGATAGATAGATAGATAGTGTGCTTAATTGTCATAAAAACATTACAATTTGTTTTGTGGACAAAGCAAAACTTAACAACTAACAAAACTATTTAAAAACCGTTAGAAACAGTAAGAAAATTTAACAGCTCTAATATTTAGCTAAAGCACAGTATATTTAAAAAAAATAGACTGTGCTTTGCTGACAGATACAATTAACGGTAAGAATAACCATCTGATCAAATAAAATTACAGATTAATATTAACGATAAATTAGTTTTAAATAAGACAAAAAAAAAGACACCATAGTTTACACAAACTTTAATAGTCGAGATTAAATCTAAATCTAAGTTAATCTTTGGTAAATGTACAAATTAATATAATAAAAAATATATGGGTACCTAACTTATTGAGTATTTCCTTGCATAAAACTATAAGCTCCACGACTGAATAAGTTACTTATTAAATAGAAAGACACTACAATTGCATAAAGTTTAAAACTCAGGTTTAAATAAGTACAAATACCGAACAAAATAATAAAATTAAAAAAGAAACCCATTCTATCACAGTTATTCAAAACATACAAAGTCAGAAACATGCTAATCATTGCCTAAAATCTGTCTTGATAATACTCGTTCAAATCATAATAGGTTCTATCATTGTTAGTGATATTTTAATTGCTTGTGGTAGATGGTTGAACACCTTTATACCATTATAATGTATTGATTTATGAACAAGCGAAGATTTCGGAATAGGAAGCTGTAGGTTAATTTGCTGGGTAGATCTTGTACTACAGCAATAGCTAGTAGAAGGCCGGACAAAGTCATTGCGATGAGTATAAATGAGACTTGCTGTTTCTAGAATATACAAACAAGTGATGGTTAAGATTTTCTTGGATTTAAACAGAGGTTTGCATGATTCTCTGTAGTTAGCATTACAAAGATATCTCAACGCTCTCTTCTGTAAGATAAACAACATACCAATTAGCTGATCAGTTGTTGAGCCCCAAAAAGCAATGCCATACCGAAGGTGTGACTCAATTAGTGCATGATAAACTGATTTTCCGAAGTTCAACCCTAGCTCCCGGACTGTCGTCTTCACAGCATAGCAGCCAGAAGCTATTTTCTTACTGAGAGAGCAAATATGTTCATCGAACTTTAAATTGGAATCGATTGTTAAACCCAAAAATTTGCTATACTCCCGCCTTGCTATTAAACCATCTCCAACCCCAATATCATCTATATGACATTTAAAAGAAACCAGGTTAGTTTTACCATAGTTAAACGTCAAGAAACTAGCATCACACCACCTCTTTACCAATTCCAAGTCCCCTGAAATGGCAGCCTTAAGAGTAGCAACGTCACTACAGCTCCACGATATGGTAGTATCGTCAGCAAAAATGGTAAACTTTCCAATAATTGGAAGCATAGCCAAGTCATTGAAGTAAAGCAGAAATAGAACAGGGCCAAGCTCTGAACCCTGCGGCACGCCCCACTCAACATGGCCCGGTCTGGATGCATCCGATCCTATTAGAACTCGCTGGGTCCTTTCACTCAAATAAGATTCGAACCATTTTAAAACGACACCCCGGAATCCATAATGGTAAAGTTTTTTAAGCAGAATGGAATGATTTACGCAATCAAATGCTTTTGCTAGGTCGCAAAATACAGCCGCAGCTACATTTGATTGGTTGATGGACGAAAATAACCGAGTGAGCAAATGGAACATAGGATTGTTTGTGCCAGTGTTGGCTGGAAATCCAAATTGGGTCTTGCTTAGAATTTTGTTACAGAAATGACATGACACGAGTCTTAGTTAACTTTTCAATCAACTTAGATAGAGTGGACAGTAGTGAAATCGGCCTAAAATTTGCTGGGTTGGACTCGTCTCCCCCCTTATGCAAGGGAATCACCATTGCGGACTTTAGGCTTGTAGGAAATATACCACTTGTCCACGAGATATTTATAGAGTTCACAAGTATGCCAGACAGAATCATATCAGGCATGCTAAGCAAGATATTCGCAGACAGCCCATCCTCACCGGAGGTATTCTTCTTCTTAATACTTTTCAAGGTTTGTTTTACTTCATGCAAGTTAGTTGGAGTAAATGAAAATGAATTAACCACTGATGTTCCAGTCATATAGGACATCGAATCTTCACTGGGTTTGATATTTTTTGTTAAATTTCTTGCAATACTGCAATAATACTGATTTAAATGATCGGGAGTAACCTCAGGGGACGATGACGGTTTTGAAGAGTTGTTGGAGCGAATATTATTTATGATCTGCCAACATTCTTTTTGTTTATTTGATGAACAATCAAGACGATCGTGGTAGTATTTTTTTTTAGCAGCGGCAATAAGTTTCCGATAAAGAGACCTATATGAATTAAAGAAGTTGTGAAAAAATAAACTGTCAGTGAATTTTCTAATTTTATGAAGACAACGAAGATTTTTTGAAGAAGTTTTGAGGCCCTTAGTAAACCAAGGCTTTTCTTTTTTCATTTTAAGTTTTCTTAAGGGAAAACATTGTTCAAAAATTTTAATGGTTTTCTGATGAAAAGTGCTTAGGGGTTCCTCTTGTTCTGCCACATCACCCCATGATTCCTCGTTACATTCCTGATAGAACCTATTATAACTATTCCTATTAAATACCCTACCAAGCCTAACCTTTTCTTCGTACCTTATTTTTGGCTCTAAAATATCACAAATTATTGCCTCATGATCAGACAGAGCTGCATTGACAACCCTGCAATCCACTTCTTCCGCGCCATAGTTTGAACATAAGTAATCAATTAACGTAAATGATGTATCTGTAATCCTCGTAGGCATTGCGACATGCATATTTAGAGCATTGGAAGTCAAAAGGTTTTTTAACGTTAAAGTTGAGATTGCATTGTCGACAAGGTAGTCTATATTAAAGTCTCCACCGAGAAGCACCCTGGAAGATGGGGAAATTTGAGCCAAGAGGCCATCAAGACCTGTCAAGAATTCAATTGTATTTGACCTGGGCGATCGGTATACACAGATTATGTACAGGTTCAGTTTTTTTGAGCAGACAATGCTGAACTCAAATGTGATTTCTTTTAACAATACATCAAATTTATTCACTGATTCAAACATATTTACCCCAAGAAAAGACTTATTAATCAGAACCATGCAACCACCATGTTCAGAGTGAGTGCGACAGAAGTTTGACAAAATTACGTAATTTGGTATGTTAACTAGTTCTTGGTTCTTTAGCCAGTGTTCCGTTAAGAGAATAATATTCGGATTATTGCAGGAATCAAGAAGTAGAGTAAACTCGTTTGTTTTATTCCGCAAAGATTGAATGTTTAAAAGTAGGACTGAATATTTATTCTTGATAATTTGATTTTTTTCCGCTTTAATCAAGCTGCCTGGGAAGTTTCTGTCACACCCTGCTCTAAAAAATTTTCTGCCTTATCTTCACTGTCATTAGTATGTTGACCAATACCTCTAGTTTCTATGTATTCTGAGATTTTTTCAGATACTTTAATTTTTGCAACATATTTTAAAGCATTATTTTTAAAATTAAAATTAAAATAAGACGAATTCAAGAACGAGTTGAGATTAATAAATAAATAAATGGGATGCACCACTCAGAGTTTGAAGAAATTCATATAATTTAATATTAACTTGATCGATCAGTTTACTTAATATTAAGTGGTTATTCCATAAAGGCACGGAAAGAATTACAATATTTGTGTACTGACTCAAGTGAGATAGCTTCTAGAAAAAAGAAATGTCAATTCTCCCACCGCACAGGGCATTCATTTAACCTCCACTGATAATTACATAATCAGTTTTTTCAAAGTCCTTTGTTAAATCGCAGACATTCTCGATGATGTTTTCCAGAAGAGCGTTGTGTTTTGCAATAGTGAGTATTCTGTATGCTTCTAGTTTAGCCTGCTTTTCTAGCGATTTGTGGAAATCAACAATGGAATTGTCTCCAACCAAAAGAATTTTATGCTTTTGAGCAGTTTGGTTTTTGATTTTGGAATCACTGTCACTTTTCTGCTGGGTATGCTGATGCGATGCAACTTGTTCACCTTCCCTGCTTTGCTTGTTCTCCAGTGCTTCAGAAATCAAATCACACTGCGTGGCCTCATCCGCTATTAAACCGCTGCTATTTCTGAAAGTGCTATTTAGCAAAAATAATTTCTGTTGGGCGTCTTTATATTCCTTCATATACACTTCGCTGTCATTTGTTAGTATTCTGATCGTATCCAACATTTCATTCTTTGTATTAGTCATATCCTCCAATACTGTTTTTAACTTCCCAATTTCGGTCTTAAATTTTTCAGCAACTTCCAAAACATCATGCATTTTTGTTGTGAGCTCTTTATTTTCTTTCTTAAGCTTGTACATTTTCGCTTTTTGTTGTTCCAGCTCCAACTTATATTTTTTTATCTCATTTTGGAAATTTTCTTCTGCAGCAAAAACCTCATCTTCGAAATCCACGG